AGCTAATAGGTGTGCTTGGGGTATAGCTTTGATATTGATAGTTGCTTACTTTGATATGGGCATTTGTAACAAGGCATGAAAGCAGACAAAACCGGTGGTGCCCTGAAGGCCAGGAAGAAACGGTGTTATCAGAAGGAGGAATTTGCAAGGCCACAATTCAGTGAGAAAGACATCAGGCGCCAAAATAGAAGGGGGGCAAGAAGGGAAAAGTAGAGGGAAATTTACGTGGGCTTTAGTTTTAGCAATGCTTTGCTTCAAGTTGCATGTACCAACCAATAAAGGAGCATTTATCTGAACCAGGCCTGGTTTCCTGAGAATTCTTCTGGATTGGGGTTTGGACTTTGTGGACTTGACACCATGAAGTAAAACAAAACTATTTTTTTTTATGTCGTAGTCTCCTTTGAGCTGACTCTTGCTGACTTAATGGATCCAGCCACAGAGTTTTCTTGGCTCAATACGAAACTGGTTTGCCTCCTCTCAGGATGGTTTTTAATGTCTGAGACTAATGCCAGGACTTCCTTGTGGTCTCCCATCCAGGCAATACCTAGGAGTAGCCTTCATTATTCTTTTGAGATCAGTCATGGTTGGCTAGATGGAGATGGTTTTTCCCCCCTTTTTTGTGCCTTCAAATCAGTCTTGACTCCTGGTGACTGCCTGAACAAGTCCCTGCAGTTTTCTTGGCGAGATTTCGGAAGTGGTTTGCCATGGCCTGCTTCCCAGGGCTGAGAGGGAGTGACTGGCCCAAGGTCACCCAGCTGGCTTTGTGCCTAAGGCAGGACTGGAACTCAGTCTCCCACTATCTAGCCTGGCAGCTTAATCACTACACCAAATTGGCTCTCCGGTTGGAGATGTGGGGGGTTAAAAAAGCAAGAAATGAGTGCTGGTGATAGCTTAGGGACAAACCAGCCAGCCTATGCAAGAGAGGAGATGGTAATCCGAAATGGCAATATTTAGGAATATTTCAGCCTTTCTGGTTCCAGAAGCTGAATCAATAGAACTACAATATTCTAGTTCAATCCAGCAAGAAATTAGCAGACTCATTATTCTGGGTTCCTTCTGTTCAATGCAGATTTGCATTGGGATTGTGGCTTGAAACTAGTTGTTGACCTTTGACCCCCTAAAATGATAAATTTGCATGAACCCAGATTAATAAAGCTAATGTTTTCGCTGGGACTAAAGTTGGGTAAGAAAGAATGACAGTATACCATTCCTTTTTAATACTATACCCTAGGAATATTTTAATTGGTCTCAAACTTTTGACAACCTGATGAAAAGAGGCTTATGAGTAAGCTCCACCCATTATGTAAATGAATGTGAGGTCATGACTCTTGTTCAAAAGGGGTGGAGTTTGTGTCTTGACTGCACAACTTTCATTTCATTTGCCTCTAGACACCTCTGCTGATCAGGGTCCCTGCTCAGTTTGGATTAAAATCCCACCAAAGTCCTGAATTATTTTCATTTTCCCCAATGAATTTGAGGAACTGGAATTTGGAAAAAAAGAGACAGATCTATATCGTATCAAAGACCAACTTGAATTTTTATTAAAACAAAATGGTACCCCACTATGATGCTTTTGGTTGGCTGGCCTTTGATTTTGGAGTCTCCACCCTTTTATAACCCACCCCAATCTGGAGAGACTCTGGAGATACAGCAGATTTTGCTATGGAAAAAGTGTACTAAATCTTCCTCTTCCAGGTGGTCCAACCCCTTTCCACATTAGTACATTAACTCGTACATACAGATATTGTACATACAGATATCATACAGATACATACAGATATCAATGCACAGATGGATAACATACTTCTTTTTCACCATTTATCACTTTGACACTTTGAAAGCCCAGCAGAGCAATTCTGGATCTTCATCAGCACTCCTTCCAGCCTTGGGGGTTCCTGGACACTTTCAAAGCCATTGTCTTGTATCAGAAAAAAAATTACAGAACGAGTGATAAAAGGTATTACTGGAAGTTTTGCCTGACAGTGAACCCAACACTTCAATTATGTCTTTACAGCTTAAAGTGGTTCATCAAGTCCTAGAACATCTTTAGATCGCTGCAAGACCAGTAGGTGGAAGAATGTCGACGAGAGAAAGTATTTTACAACCGTTACCTTTCATACTGATTTAATTACTTGGATATGTTATAATCTCTTCTGCATTCTCCTCTTTTGCCCTTTCCCAATTGTACCATGGTACAAACATGACCGCCTCTTTCCTGCAGTATCTCCATGACGTTGCCTCTTCGTCTTGTCCCCGGCCCAGGAGTGAAACAGGCTTAAGACAAACCGAGCTGTGCTGCATTTTCCCCTCTTTGGACATCATCTGGGGACAGACAGGTCCGAGGCACACTACATCTACCAGATTTTGTCACTCTTTACTATGGGGGAAAGCAGGGGATGGCAGTGACAGAGAACAGAAGCAGCAAATCTGAGTTTTCTGCAGGAAAGGCTCATAAACTGGTTATTTCTCCTGTTGATGACAGTAAAAGAGCAAACTGTTTGAGAACAGCTCCTCCCAGCTTGGTGATATCTGAACTAGAGCACAATTACTAAGAGACTGGCCTCGAAGGAAGGTTTGCTGATTCACTTCGATACTCTTCCACTCAAGTCCTGATCTGCTCATTACAAAATGCTAGTTTTGTTTCCCCTCTCTCTGAAAAAAGCCTTGTGCCAGAACTCTGTTGTTGGTTACCAGATCTGGGACACAAACGTCCATGCACTTGATTGCAGCCAAGTTGTTTTTCTCTATCTTTTGTTGACATTTAGTGGTCATCTGCAATTTTGCAAACCAAGTCTGGCAGCCCTAACCTACTAATAGGATTGTGAGCTGGTCAGCTTGTTGCCTTTGCCTTATGTTCTTTATCCTCAGGCTCTTCTTTCTCAAGCTGCGTTCTCTTAATAATCTCTGTCCGAGGTTCGAATCAAGAGGAACCTTTCCATGATTTTGTTCTCTTCCTGGCAGCAAACAGGAAGACTCCTATATACTGACAAAAAGGCCATTTGAAATCAGGGAGACGAGGGGAATGTTCCTTCAGAGATATGCTGATCTTTGATCGTAATAAAAATTGTGACTTGGTTCCATAGCACTCTTAGAGGAAGATTATTCTCAGGCACAATTCCATACTTGCATAATACCACAACTTCATTTACCCCCAGCCTCCTTTGACAAACTCCAGCCAGTTTTTCAAAAAATGCCCAGTTGTAATTCACCACTGGCCCTTAAGGAACAAAACCCCTTTGTTTTGCACAAAAGAGGAAGAAAAAATGGGAGCTATAGAAACATGAAACTAATAGAACACTTGACAATTTTATCTTCTGCTTGCTTTAGTCATAGCTTATAGCAAAGTCAAGAAATTGTCATGTGCGATCAATTCCTTTTAAAGAAACCTCTACTGGTCTCTTGTATTATTTTCTACTTATTTCTATGGTTACTTTTATCTTAAAATTTGATAAACAATCCCTCTTAATCTTCAGTTGAATTAATGATGAAAATATTAAACAAGGCCCAAGTTTCACATTGTAGTACCCTATTACCTTCCTCCAGTTTAATGAAGAACTGTTGAGCATGTTCTGAGTAAAAGTTTTGAGCCATTATGCATCCACATAATTGTCATGTCATTCCAACCACACTTAATTAACTTGATACTTAGAATGTCATTGGCTACCCTGTCAAGTGCTTTGCTGAAACCAAGTTATATTAGATCTAAAGCATTCCCACAGTCTATTACAGAAGTTACCCAATCCAAAAATGAGGGAAGGTTGGTCAGGCAAGACTTGTTTCTGACAAATCTATGCTAGTAAACTTCTAGTAAACACCACTTCTTTTTCAAAGTGCCACAGATCGATCCTTTACAATCTGCTCTAGAATCTTCAAAGCATCAATGCCAAGGACTGATCTATAGGTTTGATCATTCAGATGTGCTATTAATTTTGTCTTTTCCCACCACGCCAGTCTTTTCCACTCTCACCAGTACTGATTTTTCCTCCAGATGTTTAGATCATTACAGAGTATTTTCAAATATCGGTCAGTTGTCACTGTGTGGGGGTGATTTCAATTCTGCCAAGTTGCAGTTTTTCCTGCTTTAATTGCATGGTTGTTGATTTTTCTGACAACTCCACAATGGCTTCCAGTAATCACTTCATTGTCTTCTAGATGCTTAGTGCTCCATTTTTGTTCCAAACTTTCCCAGACATCTGTGTAAGATGGACTTGTTCTTAGCTCCTAGAATCCTCTTCCCTTCTTCGGAAAGCAGAAAAAATATTTTTGTTGTCTTTTATCTGTTGCCTTCTGTCTTCTTCTTTGAACGATTAATATATGCGTTGCTTCCTTTCTTTTCTTGTTAAAAGATCTGAAAAAGCTTTTTGAATTTTTTAAGCATCTTTCACTAACCTCTGAGCTTTAGAATTAGTCCTTTCTATCTCTTGAATGCATTCTTTTTCTTTTTCAGATCACCACCAAACTTCTCCTACGGCCCCACTCTGTGGTTTTGATTTTTGTAAATCCTTGGTAGTAAACCCCTCAAATCTTCACTTTTTTCCCCAGGACTGTTGATGGCCATGGAAACCTAGTAGCATCTCTCCCCTGTGCCCTCCAACAGTACCTCTGCACCTTCCAGGGGTTTATTCTCTTGAAGTCATCATTGTAACGTTCTTCCAACAAGATACAAGACTTTACATGGTTTATAAATTATTTCACTTGCTGTCATTCGTGCCACCTGTCTCTATGGTTTGGAGGTCTGAAGAGTCATGGCAGTTAACCATGAGCTGATCTGTTTAGAAAGCATTCAGAACTATGGCACAAGTCAGAACAGGGTATAGTTCCAGATTATTCTGGAAGCACTAAACATGAATTGCAGCCTCAGCTAAAGTCTCAACCAGACAACACACCAAGCATTCAAAAACTGCTCCCTCGGGTTAGTTTTTTATGCCTTCAGTGATGCTTTCCACTTTCTGTGCTGTTATACCTGAGTGCAGGGTCTGGACCACACGGATCCCCAAAATGTCCCCCCTCCCCGATTTCCTCCAAAAGCTGTCACCAAATTTTGATTTGGAGTATGTCAAAAGAGGGAAGTAAGATAAGTATGTGATTTGCAAGTAATCATACTAGCAATGTTTAATTAATTTGATTTTAATTGAATTCAAAGGTAAAAGAAATAAAATAAAATTTAGATTATTTATCCTGGTCCCACCCATTTTTTGTAATACAGCTTTACCACACCACAAGTATCGCTCTCTGCTAAAAAAAAAAAATGGCTGTGGTTATCTACGAGATCCCCTTCTGTAGGTTCATGGATGTGAAGTAAAAAGACTGTTTTGACTGATAGGTTTTCCAAACTCCATGCATTCAAAACATTTCTCTCCTTTGCAGATCCTCTTATGTGAAGTAAAGGAACTACAGACCACGAAGTTTTTTCACCACTTGATGCATATATATGGCGTCTCTCCTTTATGCCTCTTTTTATGAAGAGTAAAGGAACTGCTCTGGCTGAAGCACTTTCCACACTCCAGGCATTTGTAAGGTTTCTCCCCTGTGTGGATCCTCTTATGAGAAGTAAGAGCCCCATTTTCACTGAAGCTCTTTCCACACTCCAGGCATTTGTACGGTTTTTCTCCTGTGTGGATCCTTTTATGAGAAGTAAGGTGAGTGCTTGTATTGAAACTCTTTCCACACTCTATACATTTATACGGTTTCTCCCCTGTATGGATCCTTCTATGTGCAGCAAAGCTACTGCTCTGACTGAAGCTCTTTCCACATTCTATACATTCGTAGGGTTTTTCCCCCGTGTGGATCCTTTTATGCGCAATAAGGTGACTGCTCTCACTGAATCGCTTGCCGCACTCCATACACTCATACGGTTTCTCTCCTGTATGGATCCTTTTATGCGCCGAAAAACTACTGCTCCGACTGAAGCTCTTTCCGCACTCTAAGCATGTATATGGCTTCTCCCCTGTGTGGATTCTTTTGTGGGAAGTGAGATTACTGCTCTTGCTGAAGATCTTCCCACATTCCATGCATTTATACGGTTTGCCTCCTGTGTTCATTCGTTTGCGTGGAGTAAGGGGAAAGGTTCTTTGAGTTCCTTTGGAAGAAAGAACAAGCATACAAATTAAATAAATAAGGCTGTGAGAAAAGACTGTTGATGATGAGAAAACAACAGAACCTAAAGGCAAAGGAAGAACGTGTAAAACTTGATATTTTACTATTCCCAACCCCTGTTCTTTAATAGGCATCACAGACAAGAGAAGACCTTCTGTACCGTATTAAAAAGATTCCTTATCTTAATGCTTTTTAATAGGTTTTACAAAAGACAATAGACAATCTGTTTTTTTTATTTACACAAATGCCAGATTGGCTTCCCATTTAGGAGGTGAATGTCCCAACAAAATTTTGTACTAACAATACTAGCAATTCATGAAGAGCAAAGTTATAAAGAAAATTTGGAAAGAGAAATGTGGAAGGAAAAAAGTCTTCAAAGGTTTGTATTTTGAAAGGAAATTGTCAGGCCCAGCCCAAGAACAACGGCAAAACAGTCCAGTCAAGTCCAGTTCCTTTATTTGCTTACACCATATAGACCAAATCTTGCCAGACTAAATGTGTACTACAGCAACTAGTGGATCTATCCTGTGGGATTCTAGGGAGTGGCTACCCTGAACCTCTTTCGCTTCTCACGCTCCCCCTGCAGACTACGCTGCCTCTTGCCTCCTCCCCCCTCCTGGAGTGCACCCCCTCCTTCCTGTTAGCCTCGATCTCCCACATCACCCTCCTCCCCATAGATACATTCCCTGACAGAAACAGACATCATGCTAAACCTATCATTTTTCTTTCTCCTTATACCAGACATGGGACTCACCATGATTTGGGCTCGTGATTTCTGACTATAGTTTGGGTCACCCAAATACTTAAATTCACAGCACAGAGGGGCCCTTACCCAGTGAGGCCACAGTCCTGGAGTTTTCCAGCATGACTTCCCCATGGAGGGCCTTTTGGTGGGGATCCAGCTGAGCCCACTCCTCCTCGGAGAAATACACGGCCACCTCTTCGAAGGACACGAGGCCCTGAAAGAGGAAACCAACACTCCTGATTAACAGAGAAGCCCAAGAAGGATCCACAAATTCCCTCCCTATTAGTTCACAAATCCTAAAAACAGAGCTTTGCAATGAATTAAACAGACATTTTTTGCAAGAAAATTGACAGAGACTGACAGACATTTACAGCCTATTTTATCAACTTGATTGTTTCAGCAGGAATTTCAGGGCTGTTCGGTGAAAGCAACCCGAGTTTCCTTCTAGATTCATTGGAAGATGGGCCTCGGACCCCCACCCATCAGTGGCTCCAGTTCTTCCCAGTGTTTGCAGGCAGAGGTACCGGGAGGGTGGGGGGTGGGGAGGTCCTGTCTGACATTTCAGCCCATGGCCTGTGGGACCAGCCCCCAATGTTGCCCAAACGCAACACCTTCGTGAGAGTTTGGGAGAGCCCATCCAGGGATCTGTGTGGCTGCCATCAACAAGCAGATGAAACACAACCCACTTTCTGCTTCTCACTGGATTCCCAGGAAGCTGTTCATGGTTGAAGCCACTGTCTGGCTGGACGCTAAGGAAGTCAGCTGCTACCTGAGGTGGAGATCTAGCTGCTCTTTCAGCTCCAGCAGAAGGAGGAGACGCTCCCACAAAGACCATGGACATTGTTCGGTTCCCTGTGAGGGAGACAAAAACAGTGGAAGCAGAATCGTGAAACAGCACCATTAGTACAACATGGGGTGAGACCACACCCAAGAGGATCCACCAAAGAAGAGCAAGCTACAAGCTCTCTGGGGAACTTCACCTGGCTTGGAAGGAACCCCCCCTTACCTCGAGAGGTGTCCCGACTTTGCTCTTTCCGGGAGATACCCCTGGGAAGCAGCTCCTGAGGGGGATCTGACAGGTCTCTCCTTCTCATGGGATGTTCAGTGACCATCTCCAGAATCTTTAACACCGGGCAGGAAAAAAGGAGAGGAATGAAGGGAACAGCACAGGGAGAAACAGCTTTTTCGTTTCTGCCCACAACTTCACAGCCTTTAAGCTCAGAAAATATTTAAGAATTCAAACATTACCTTTCCTAATGTCCCTTTAGAGGTCTTAAGATGATGTTCTCACCTGCAGCTCTTCCTGCCTCTTCTCCTCCGCCTGGCTCAGGAGGAAGCCCTCGGCCAGGGCCACCGCCTGGGAACTGGTCTCTGCTCCACACTCCCGCACCCAGTGTTCCATTTCTGTGGGCAGGAGGACCAGGAACTGCTCCAGGAGCACCAGATCCAACATCTGGGCCTTGGTGTGTCTTTCTGGCTGCAACCACCGACGGCAAAGGCGATGGAGGCGGCTGCAAAGCTCTCGTGGCCCCTTGGCCTCTTGGTAGTGGACATTCCTGAAGCTCCAGCGCTGGACCTCTGAACTGATGGTTTCGTCCTTCAGGATCTTCTGCCCGATTCGTGCCCAGGTTCCCCGACGGCTCCTTTTTCCAGCTTTCTCAGCTGCTCGGTGTTTTGACTCCATTTTCCCTTTGTTCTTCAGTACAAGCCCAAATGGGGCCAAGGGATCTCCTGGATCCACAAAGGTCTTTTCAATCATAAGACCTGAACTTCAGGAGGAGGCCTTGGGTGAGTCTCACCAAGCCATTGAGCCTTATTTCTGAGCCCTTTTGGACACCAGACAAGATGTTTCCAGCTTAGCTATCAGAGGAGGAAAAGAAAAACACAGGCTAAGACATTTATGCTCCTTTGATTGTTGACAAACTATACATTCCTACCAATCCATCACGCTGTCCTGTATTTGCCAGATTTCTCTTATTGTCACCTCTTGTACCGTTTCAATCTGAATAATACCAAAGTCCTCCCCAGACATGCTTAGCAAGCCAATCCCCCTCACACTTCCTAACTTTCCCTCTGTAGAGAGGAATAACAGGAGCATCTTCCAGGCATCAGGCAAGGCCGCCACCTTCAACCACACATTAAATTAAATTACACAGCTGCTCACAAACTGCATCTGTATCTTAACATTTCTCCAGTTATACCCTCTAACCCAGTGTTGTCCAAATGTGGCCACTTTAAGATGAGTGGACTTCAACTCCCAGAATTCCCGAAGTCTACTCATCTTAAAGTGGCCAAGTTTGGACAAGACTGCTCTAACCCTAACGGCTCTCGACCATTTTGAAACATCCACCATCTCTGCCTTCTTCTTCTCCTTGAACTTCTTTTTTCTTGGACACAAACATTTATAGCAAGCTGCAGCACTTTTTTTCTCCTGGAGGTGCACGGTTCTTTTCCTTGGTTTTATTTTCTATTTTTTAAACTGAAAGCCGCCCCGTCATCTGCACTCCAGGGGCTGCTAAATTTGATAAAGTAACATTTAAAAAATAAATAAATGTCCACCCTTCAATACATCACTTAGGTCCCATACCAATCTCTGAAGTACTCATGTCCTAATACTTTTTCCATGCAACGCTTCTGCTTACACTCTTTCTCCCCCTATCCATTTTTCCCAAATCCTGTTCTTGATGCTCCCATCAAAATAATGCTCAGTTCCATCTATCTCCAGTTCTTCCATTTTCACCATTCCGTGGAGCAAAACGTACAACCGTCGCCAGCCGCTGATACAAGTGCGTACTTCTCTGCCGTATATTTTAGCCTTTACGTTCACAATCAGAACTGCACCTTCGCTTCCCTGCATCAACTCCATTCCGTGAGATCTGACCACCTTTATACGGATCCGTTCCGTTTTCTCTCTTTCCCTTAGTTTCACCGACACACAACGTAATTGTTTTCTTTCTCTCGTATCATTAATTTTATTTATTTATGTATTTATTTTTCAAATTTGTATATGCCACCCATCTCACTATGCAAGTGACTCTAGGCGGCTTAATTCTGGCCTGTTCCTGTTTATTCCTCTTCCGTTCCAAGCTGCAACATCTCGGCCACTCATCTGGCTTTGCAGAGTTAAGGCCATCTCAGACGGCCTCGCAATATGGTAGAGAGGTTGCAGGCTGGGGTTCCAGCCCTACTTGCACGCGTGCCTCAGGCAGCACTGTCTGCCAATGGTAAGGACCATCCCAGTCAGTTCAGGCACACGTGGGCCATGAAGCCAAGCAAAGCCAAGCTTTACTTTACCCCACGAATGCTCCCACGACCCTCTGGGTCTCCAAACTGCAGACTATCTTGCAAGCTGACATACTGGTCCCACATCCACCAACTCAAAGTTGTACACTATGTACTGACACACCCTTGGGATATAGCACAAATCAGTGCAAAGTAACAGCATGGTTTCAGGGGCACTCCCTCCCTCCCACTGTCTCTTGTCCCCCCGCCCTCATTTTGGGAAGGGTCTTCTGTGGAAGTGTAACTCAGCTGCGCTGGCAGCAGAATTCTTGGGGGTCTTTCCAGCCCCATCAGCAAGAACATTTGAGGCACAGAATTGGACCTTTCCAACCCCCCCCAACGCTTGAAATGGGAGCGTTTGCAGAGGGTGGAGGAGCACCAGGCAGGAAATCCCCTTTCCCAGATTCTCTTTTGCTAGAAATGCTGGGAAGCAGACCTGGCTTATGCCCAATGTGAGCAGGTTGTTCCTTTAGGCTTCCTCCCCGCCCCCCGGATTCCTCCCCCACCAACTCTTTCTGGTTTTCCACTACAGTTTGAAAAGACAAGCCTTTCTCATCTTCTCCCTACCACCCAGTGCGGACCCTTCCCAGATGTCCCAGGGAAGGGAAGGGAAGGGAAGGGAAGGGAAGGGAAGGGAAGGGAAGGGAAGGGAAG